GGAGAAGATCTAACAAGTGAGATTGAAAGAGCCACTGAAATACGAACCCAGTGCTGTTCTAAGAACTTGAATTTGTTTCTGCTCTGGTTCATTTAACGCTCTCCAGCAGCCCCAGGTTACTGGGGAGGTGGCCCTACTCCAAGCAGGGCGGTGTCGACTGTTTCTGCCAGGTAGGTCAGGGGCCAAGCACCACCCTGCGTTACACCTATTGCTAGGAGACTGCGTGGGAAATGTCCTGATCGAAAAGGGTTAAAACTCTCATCCCAAGTGCCTGCTTCTTCAGAAGTGCGCTGTGGACCTTGCATGGCAAACAGCTGTGTAATAATAGGACTTGGAGCGAATGCCTGTATATTTAGGAGCTGTGCAAAAGCACCTAAGATGTTCACCAGTCCGCAGACCAGCAAGTGGAGCTTCACGCAGCTAGTCCTGCTGTGATTAAAATAAGAGCTTTTTTTTTTTTTCTGCTGTGAAAAAATAGGTGATTATTAGCTTCAGTTTGACTCATAAGTTCTAAAGTACTGGGCTCAGCACTGAAGAGACAGGGACAGTCAGCATGGTTATACAGCCCTTACCTGGTGAAGAAGCTTGTTTTTGTGATCTAACGACTTCTTGCTCCATGGTTGAATGTGTTAAAATAGTGATACTGGTTTGATATTCCCTTACAGAAGTATCTGCTGTTGGTAAAACTGACCCCAAGAAAAGCCCAAGTTAGTCTGTTGAAACAGAGGTAAATAGAAACCAGGGGGTGTCCGTTGGGGACATCACCAGCAACAAATACTGTCAGCCAACAGCTGATTTAGGGAGATTTGCCAGTGTGCTTTTTTTTTTTTTAATTGAAACTATCAGTTTTGTTCTTCCTCCTACTTAACATGTTTTGCAATAAAAAGTGTTGCATAACGTTTGTAGAACATTTGTTAACTGCTAACGTTGATCTCAGGTTGGCTAATTTTGGTGCGTTACTGGCAGGCCTGTGGGGAGCAGCACACAGCTTGTGGCAGATGCATTGCGTTAGAGACAAAACTCATACCAGGTGAAATTCAGAATGAAAATGTTTGTTGTATTAGAAGGTCTGGATTTTACTCCAGAGCAGCTGCCAAAAAGGAACTCTCTAAAATCAGTGTTTCGGCTAAATGTTAACAATAGTAGCCTTGCCTTTTGCTGCCATAAGTAATGCATTGTAGGACTTCTCTGTAGTGAAGTTACGCTTTTCTCTGGATACTTGTCCTAGCAGAGGATATTTTTCCTGATTGAATGCCAAGTCAATATCAAGGCAATGAATTAGAGCACTTAACTGAGCACAGAACAGCAAAAATTGAAGTCAAGCAGTCTCTATAAAGTGTGAAATGTGTTAAATCATGTAATTCACAGCTCAGTTATCTTTCCTGCTGCTGCCACTTCCCAGCCAGAAGCCCCCCGAGTAACCAGCCAACACTTGCCAGGTCTCCTGAAGTAAAATCGGGAGGAGGCAGCTCTTGGGAGGTGGCAGTGGAAGAGCAGCTTGGATGTTCCCTGGGCTGGCATTGCGCAGCTCTCAAAGGACGTGTACGGACTTGTTGGGAACAGCGGTGGCATCAGGTGAAATGTACGGCCCAAAGCAAGGTGGAAGCCCTGGGGCAGCATCGATGGAGCTAAGGATGTAGTAAGGTGTGGTTTGCAGGGAGGAGTAGTGGTGGTGCTGTCCCAGGCCGGGTGAGATAGGTGGGCAGGAAGACTTGCAGGCATGAAAATTCACAGGCACTTCCACAGATAGGTACAAACGTAATGAGTTCAGAATCATTTGTCAGATTAGTGCTTGTTTAAAGCCTCCTTTCTAGGGCTGCTCTCTACATGATACTGCAGGTTTGTGTTCAGTAGAAATTTTATTTGAAAGCATGAAAAAAGGATGATGCTGAGGGCAAGACTTAAACGTCAGACCTTAACCCACCGTTGAGGTGAGCCGTTGCACTCACAGATACACCGAACAAGGTCTAGTTTACACTCCCTGCTGTGTTTTTGCTTTGCACAGGAGTTAGAAACTGTATTCTTTCCTTAAAAGGAGACTTTACAACAAAAAGTGAACTTGAATTGGAAGTTTAGCTTCAGCTTTTCAGACACTGCTGTCAAACGTCGGTGCACTGTATGCTTGCACTCTCTTCTAGATCCATTAATAAGATCTTTTGTCTCAAGCCTTTTTTTTTTTAAGCATCAAAAGCTGGGGGGGGTGGGGTATAATTTCTTAAGAAAAGCAACTTTTACTCACAAAACATGCAGATTACTTGTTCCTGTAGCGTGCGTGACCATATAAAGTGTTCAAGTGGAAATAAAAATGGTTAGTTCATGACTCTCTTGTGATTCATGGCTTCCTCAGAGTCATTACTCTGGCCCAGTGTCATTTTTTTATATATGAAGCTCCAGAGGTATAGCGGGGAACAGCAGTAACTTTCGCTGGTGCTTTGTTTGGTTGGCTGCAAATTAGTTTAGACACTTCAGGGTTGCGAGGTAAAATGGTTGGCATAAAATAGGTGGGAAAACAGTTGCAGGGGGAAGTTGAATAGGGCTCACACTGAGCAAAAAGCTTCTCGGTTCTCCAGGAATTTCCACCATTTGGGTTTCTGGCCAGCCTCTCTACAGAGGGTGGTAAAATAAGTGAGATTTTTCTGTCTTGGCAGGACAATGACTGGTGGCTGCCTCCATAAATCTTGTGGGTATCTGCAGCCTGGACATGTTCTAGAGCTTGCATGCTTGTGAAGGTAGCATTGAGTAATCCCAGAATCAATTTATAATCAAAGGAAGTTGGGATTACTAAGAATCAAATTTACTAGAAATGTGATTTATCTGTGAAGATGGGAGGCAAGGCACTAACTTGCCTGCCTTTCTCTAATAAACCCAGAATTAAAACAATTGAAGTGATCTTTAGTTGATTCTCTTAACCCAGGACTAGCAGGATCCCTTTCCAGGAATGCAGGGTGGAGAGGAAATCCACTGCTATCTCCCTTTTTGACTGTTTATCACATCAACTCAAGCTCTTATCACAAGCTGATGTATTTAGTGACTCCCTCTCCTGACTAAATAAATTGGCGGCAGGAGCGGTTTTTGAAAGAGCGACTCAGAGCCCAGAGCATCAGCAGGACTGGGAGCCCAGCCAGGCGTGGCAGAGCTCCTGGGGAGGCTTCACTGAGCACCCCCGGGGCTGCTGGAGCTGCTCTTGAGCACAAGGACCCCCAGAATCTTCTTGGCAGGAGCAGAGGGACTCTCTGGGAAACCGAGGTGGCAGCTGGCCCATCCTACTGATACTCCTTTAGCAGTGAAGTTCAAGGGTGGTAAGTTTGTCTGGAGCTAGTACAAAGTACAGCTCTGCTTACAAAGTGTAAAGGATCCTGTGGGCAGTTCGTGTTGCAGTGTGCTTGGCGTTATCAAGTAGAAAACTGAGTTAAATTTTAAGATTCTGATAACATGGAACTGGGTTTAGCTGTTGTAGTCACTTATTTTGAGTTACTACCGAGATCTGGTCACTATGTCATTTACCAAACTGTAATAAGCAAGTTTTCCTAAGTATTTAGAGATATTTTTTGATCTTTGAGAATGATTTTATTCCTGATAGCACCTTACTTCAGATAAATGTAACTCTGTAAGAACTTTCAGAAGCCTCTAACAAAATAATTTTAAATCCCTTTTATTAGATGGGGCAGGGGAGGGATAGGGGTTGAATGGTTACCAGTGGTCAGTAACCTGAATTGGTGCTAAAGCTCAGATTTTTGCCCTTACTGAGGTTTCTGCACTGCCTGCTAGATAGATGTTCAGCCTGTTTTGTCTACATTTGAAATGTTTGGTTACATTCCTCGGGGATAAGTCTGGTTATTTTGCTAGCGTTCACTTTTTAATATAATCATACTGACTCACATTCCTTATAACTGATGTAGTAGTAACAAATTCATGTACTGTATCTGGAAAATTCTGTGAAATAATTTAGGTATTGCTTTGAAAGTTTTTTAGCTTCGCGTTTTCAAATAGAATTTAAAACTACTGCATGGGTTAGAAGTTGACACTTCTTCCAGATTCCAGTGAAAACTTTCCCAAAGTTGACTCTGAGGAGGGAAGTTCAGGAGCCAGTCTTTCTACTTCATCTCATGTTCTAGCCTTAAGTTTACAAAAATGGCAGTTGCTGAACTTGTTTCAGTATTGCCTACAGAAATGCAACCAGATTCACACTGAAATGGAGATTTTATTGTAACTAGGTCCAGGGACACACACAACGATTTTACAGGTATATTGAACTGAGCTTTAGTGCTGAGACTAATGAGGACTTAAGTTCCTTGTCCAGCAGGTTCAAATTACTACTTTTTTTTTTTTTTCCCAGTGGCTTGATAATTTACACCACCCTTTGTCTTTATATTTAAAGAAGTTTTCAAACCTGTTGTGTGGGGCAGATTAAACTGAATTGTGCTGTGAACATGAGTCATTACAGATTATTCTGCATAAGAAGCTGTGCTCTTTGGGTGGATACTGAAACTGGTAGGGCTTGACAAATTCAAATCGCTGCAGGACTTCCCCTTTTGTTCCTTTCCAGGAAAGGATCGTTTCACCTCCTTACTCCATAATGCCGTTAAAATTAGTTAATTTAGAGCCTGCATCTAGTCATTTGGGATGAAGGCTGCAGCAGCTTTTGGCAGGTTTTCAGCTCTTGGATAAGGTGGGGAATGTGTTAATCATTGCCATCAGCACTGACTGCTCTTCCTTTTGGGTTACCAGGGGGGTTATTGTCCTGTGAAGATTTCCATTGTGGTTGATGGTGACTCAGCTTCTATTTCCCCACCTCTGACTCAAGGACTTCACCATGTTAAGAGTTTACCAGGGGCCCGATGGAGGCTGGCAGGTCCCCAAGTTCCTCCTCACCGCGTTGTGCCGCTTCAGAGACGGGCAGAGCCAAAAGCATCCTCAGTGCCACAGCGGGTCTGTCCCAGTTCTCACACGGCTCTTTGTCAGGCACTGGGCATCTGGATGCAGCTTGGGTAGGACAAAGCAGACCCGTTTGGACAGAGAGGGTGAGCTTTGGACAAAGCAGGTGACATTAGCATTATACAGCAGTCAGTTAAGATATGCATGCAGGGCTAATTTTAAACGCTGGTTTCCTGAAGCTTCTAAGAAGTGGAAGTAGTTAAACTCAAGACCAGGTTTCTCAGTTTAACTGGTACATGAACCTTCTCATTTATAGGTTTGTGCTGTAAACAGCTAATCACTGCCACAATGACATCTTCAAGCTCTGCCCAGCATCCACCAGCTGAGAACGCCTGCAGAACCGCACTCAGACAAGTTAACCAGGTAATTCTCCCACTTACCTTCCCTGCTTTTTCCTCGCTAAAGGAGTGATTTCTTCCATCAAATCAAAGCTCTCCAAGCACATTTAAGTAAGAAGAATTTAGCCTAATGGAGTAGGGCTTTTATCCTGAGTTGTGTTAGCTTTCACTATCAGTTCAATGGTTTATGAATGTTTTAAGGGGGAGGAGGGGAAAAAGCAGTTAAAACTAGCCACACAAGAAACTGTATAATGCACATTGTGTAGTGTAAATTTTTGTACTGGACCTGTACTTGAAGTTTTCCACGTACAGCATTCCTCCTAGTGCTGGACTCTGACTTGTATCAAAGCTTTTAAGCTTGTATGCTGAACTCTGTCTAGTCAATAATGCATCCCCGTTCCTTTTTTGGAGTCAGTTTACGTACGTATTGAACGTGTTGTTCTCCCCTTATCAACTATTTCTAGAATGTCCCTGGAACAAAAGGTAGTTGTAGCTGCCAGCCAAGGCCAACATGGCCTGTGTGTGGTTTGAGTATGGCTCAATACCATGTTGACAGCCAGTCGCAGAAGAGACATTTGCGAACAATAACAGTAGAAATCTAGTCTAAAAAAAAAATCAGAAAGGTTTCTCTAAGCCAGGCATCCAGAGCCAATCCATTGTAAAAAGCATCTCCACAGTATGAGGGGATGGGGCAGGAGTAGAAATAAGCTGATGGGAAGCTGAGCGAGCCTCCTGTTTGAGGCTTACTTTAGAAGCTTTGAAATGTAGCCAAGTTCTGTACAGAGCTGATGTATATGCTTATTTATTTGATTCACTCTGCATTAAAAAAAAAAAAAGTAAATAGGCTCTGATATTAGTAGCAAAATATTGTCAACACTCAGTGTCCTAAGCAGTGTGGAATAAACACTTCCATTTTGGCTGTACTGTGGTAGCTAGGGGCCCATTTTAAAATAATCACGCTGACTAGGTTACTTCTTTAATCAGAGAGAGCTGTATAAGAAGTTACTTCAAAATCCATTTGAGAGTGGTCATTAGAGAAATGAATGAATGTAAACACATAATTTCATCTTATTAAAAAACCATGTGCTGATACAAGCACTTATTTCAGTTGTGCTGAGCTTTTTTGTAGTGAAAAGGCTGTTTTTGAGAAAGAGACTCGGGGCTGGACATGAGCTGTTCTGTTCGAGCTTGAAAATGCTTTTAACAAACATAATAATGAGAAAACAGGCAGACCAGACATGTTCAGAGGTGGGTTTTTTTGCAATATTAGAAAACAGCGGAACAAATACCAAGGTACTGGTGGTAGCTGAGTGATAAACTACATTAATGACAAGCAACGAAAACCTGCTCTTCTTCCTTACCTTGAGTAGGAAAATGGTGCTGCAGCGCAAGCTGTCTCCTGGGGAGATGTTGTAGGGCTGCAACCAGGCTCTGCTTTTTTTTAAGAAGGGAAATGAAGATTGCAATTGCTTTTATATAGGCAGAAAGTAGGGGTGGCTGTGAGACACAGGTGAACCCCCCTAACATTGGTAGGTGAAGGTCTTTACTAGCTAGCACAGATTACATTGCCTTGAGAGGATAAACCTTGTGCAGAGGAAACAGCAGAGCATGTCACGTGCCGAGGACTGGACTTTCTGTCCTGTGACAGACTGAAATACCTCGCTTTATTGGCATCTGATAGACAAGGAGAACAGCAGAAGAGATTCAGTGTGGGAAACGTGCATTCCAATATTGTACACAATTGTGGAGCTTTCAGAGAAGAGTGAGGGCTTGCTGACATTTTTAGGGAACGCAAGGCATCAGATCATGTGGTGGCACTCTCCTAGGAATTGTTAAAAATCTCGTGGAATAGATGAAGTAGCAGCGTAGGGGGGAAGTAGCTATTTAAAACTCGGTGCTGTTTTATATGGCATCATCTATCTCATCTGCTACTCGAAGCTCCTTGGGTGTGTGGGTGAAACTTAAAGGGGTTGTGGAGCAGTTGCATCATTCCCGGGGTGCTTTATATTTTATATAATAAAGATTTTGGTGGATGACTGAGATCCACAGAAAATACAGGTTCTGATCCTTGGTGTTAATTAACTACACCTTGTGTTTAATGCAATCTTATTATTATATGCTTATTCGTGGATCCTAATAAATCTGAGGACTGATCAGAGCAGGCCTGATTTGTTCACTGCACTAATTGAGAAGATTCAGGCCATCTGAATGCACCATCACTGCTCCTGAATACATGACTCAGTACTTTTGGTTGCATGCTGCCTGGGACTGAGTTTCCAGTCTTCCCCTCACAGGATGAATGACATCAAAGTTAATGGGACAGTGTGAGTGATTAAAGCCTTTAGAGCTGACTGCCCAAATTCCTTGGGTTTTTATTTTTTGTCTGGCATTTGAGTCAGAATGACTGTGCTGATTTCCAGTCCTTCTGACTTCTTTTTAAGCGTTTGTCCATGCAGATTACTTGTAAAAAAGAATACCAGCCCTCAGCAGGTTAGCCTGAGGCAAGCGGTGTTTCCCCACGGCCTCCATCTCCAACCAGGGTTGTCAGCTCTGTGCTTGGTGTGAAGCCTTGCACGGCTTGACTTGGGGCAACTTGGGTTTGTCAGCTGTGATCTGCAGGCGTGCATTCAAACAAAACCCTGTGCTTTTGTGTTTTAGCTGCGACCCAAACCGCCGCTTCTGAAGATTCTGCAGGTTGCGGGCGCCCAAGGTGAAACCTTCACGCTAAAGGAGGTGGGCTCAGTTTCTAGGCACTGAAATTGTGCTTGTCCCTGGTTGTTTGGGAGGTGGCTCTTTGTGGGGAAGGGATGGGACTGGCTGTTATTTTTTTTCTGTACTTCTAAACCCTATCTGTGCAAAAGGGATACTTTACCCGTGATTTGATTGATCATAAATTGTCTTGAGATCTCCTGGAGGAATTGGAATATGAGTGTGAAATATTAAAGAGAATTACTTATCCTGGAAAATCAGAAACCTCTATAGAGAAAGGAGAGATGGGATAGCCACATTCCTGAGAGAACGTAGGAGGTACTGTTCAGTTGTCTTGCTCTCTGCTTAGTGCATGCAAGCCTTAAAAATTGGATTCCAGTTGATATTTTTCTTTTAAATTTCCCTTGAAATGGCTTGTCAGCTAAACCTAAGAGACCCTGTGAATTCATTTATTTTAAGATTAAAATGCAATATGTGTACAAGATTAAAAAAATGACACTGACTGTGATTTACAAGAGTATCCTGTCTGCAAAAAATTAAATGCAGTGGTTTTTCATTATGAATGTGTCAAATATTCCAGCAGAGCCCTGTGACTTATTTTAAACACTTATGCATTTAAATAACTTATTTAGCTTCTAAAAATTTTTGCAAAAACAAATTGAATGGTTTAAATGGGAAGAGTTGAGTATTAAATGCAGGTTACTTGTATAGATTAACATTTTAACTCAGTTAAGGCAGGCTCTTCTGCAGCGAATGGAGTACTGATAGCAACTTTTTGGTGACACTGTCAGCCAGGAGAGTTGATTTGGTGGGCAGTGGAGGGGTGGAACCTGCCTGTATTGTGCTTGATGTGCTTTGCTTTTTCCTCTTGTAACTCTGGATTCCTTGCTGTAGCTGGCAGTGTCCCCTATCTCTCAGAGGATGTTTCCTCCCCACCCTTCTTTGTGATACTAATGCACTTATTTTTGCATCTTGCGAACTGAGCGACAGCACTGTAAGTGTGGTCATTCTTTAGTAACAGCTTATTCTCTTCACTGTGTCCACCTTCTGCCTCCTCCACACCTATTTCCTTCTCCTCTTTACTCTAAATGAACAGCAGCAGTCTCCATCTGCAGCCCTCACTGAGGTGAGTGCTGTCCCCCACGTCATGGTTCATTTTAATGTGGGATAGCAGAGCGACTGCTGTTGTCCATCTTCAACTCAGTTTTCCTTCTTGTCGAGGGTTAATAGTTACAAACCTTACAGCAGTATGGCAAAGCATAACTCCCCCTTGGTTGGGAGGCACCGACGAGTTGCAGATGTGCATACAAAGCAGGTACTGTTTGACTTGCACTGTATGTGGGGGGGTAGCAGGAGGCAAGTATCATAAACTAAAGCAAATTTCCAGGGTCTTTGGTGCTTTGGTTTCAACTGCAGACACGGCTAATGGTATGGTATGTGTCCACAGGTCATGCATTACCTAGGACAGTATATAATGGTGAGGCAGCTATATGACAAAAGACAGCAACACATGGTCTATTGTGGAGGCGATCAGCTGGGAGAGCTGCTGGGGCTGGAGAGCTTCTCTGTAAAAGACCCAAGGTAGGAAAAAGTCACCTTTAACGTGTGGTTTCTGAGACAGGAGACTCCTGGTGTCACTTTCTGTTCTCTGTCACATAAACCTCCATGAATACCAAGTGCCCTGCTCAGTGCCTTATTGGTAATGCATTTGACAAGTCTGAGTTGAGCTTCTTTGTTCTGAAAAGCCAGTTCTGAATGGTCCAGGCAGTGAGCTGCTTGAGGTGACATCTTTTTCTCCTTTCTTTTCCTGCATCTTCTCAGGCCCTTGTTCTCATACTTAAGCGAAAAACCACTTCCTTCAGTTAAGTTCTAATCTAGACTTCTCTGTAGCAAGCATTTAGGAGTGGCAGAAAAGCCCCACTGCAGTTCCCCAGTGTGTCTCTGGATAATAAAAAGGGATTTCTGTCCTTGGTTTAAAAGGGTAATGCTGTTTGTATTAACTGTTGCCTTCTTTCCCACAGCCCAGTCTATGACATGTTGAAACGGAACCTGACTGCTGCTGCAATGGCAGGTAGGTTTGTCACAGTATGGGCAAGTATATTCAATGTAGTGTTGATGTAACTTGGGTAAGTAATGATACTCAAGAAAAGAGAAATGTTTCTGAAGTTGGAACAAACTGCTAATGAAGGCTTTGACAAGACAATCTCTTTGAGTATGTGTCTTTCCTGTGTGTCCACCACCATCAGTAGCTGTGATAGGAAATCAGTTAGCTGTTTGAGTAACGTGGCCAAACCTCGGAGCAGCAGAAACGTTGTCTGGAAGCACGTTGACAGAGCTGAATACTGTGGATGTATAAATCAACATGGCTAAAGTATCCCATCCAAATTGTTACTGATTTCTCAGCCTTTTCTCAGTTTCATAGCATGCTGTGACTTCTTGCTCTCACCTCGTTTCATAGTCCTGAGATTGAAGATGAGTGCTGGAAACTCAGCCCAGTTTTGCAAGCCAAAGATGTCTGGGCTTTAATCGAACACTTGAACCTTTAAAGGTCACTGTTACTTTCCCAGCTCATAAGAGAAATCAAATCTATCTACATCAAAAGTCCTTCAGTCATAAACTAAAATTTATTCTTAAATTAATCTCACTTGATGGCTTCCTTGCAGCCAGTTTCCATTGTACAGCTGGTAATCTTAATTTGAAAAAAAGACTGATGAAGCTACAAGTGTGCAAATCATGAGGGACCTGCACCAGGAGCGCTGTGGAGTCTTGTGCCGTACCTTCCTGGGGGTCTCGAAGCAGATAATAATGGACTTAGTTCTCCATAAGGGCTTAGTCTGGTTTTGCACATGTACATAAAAGCTTGTGCGAGTTCAGAAACTGAGAAAACATGGTCCTGAAGTGCTTAGTCCTCTGCTTTGAGCCACGTATTGGTGCCTCTGAGGTCCCCTTTCTCTTTTTATGTAGAAGCATCTTCCTAAGTGGACTCTCTATAAACACGTTACCTACAGAATAACTGTGTGAGTGCTGTTTCCCCCGCTGGTGGTGTCCTGGCCTCTTCCCTGTAGGCAGTGTATGTGGAGAGCAAAGGATCCCAGCGGAACACTCTCCTCTGCTGCCCTGTCCCCTTCTGTTTGGTGTGTGCGTGTGCCTGGGTGTGCGTGTATGGTCCAGTCATGGTGTAACTATTTTTAAACCTGCCAAAGGAAATGCAGTTCCTTTAGGGAGATGATCACTGAGTTATACCACCGTGTCTGCTTGTGTATGTGTGTGACTACGAAACGAAACGAGCTTGGCAGACCAGACCTTTGACAGATGCATAGGAAGGATGACTCTAGGTAGGGTTTTTACCCTTCATCACAACATAGGAATAAGTAGAAGTGCCAGAGGGCTTAAAGAGGTCTTCGTGTTTTGTAATAGCTGCTTGTATTCATTAGCCAAATCGGTGCTTATCAGCACATCATTTTGCACATTATCTCGGCCACTTCTTTTAAGCACACTTGTAGAAAGACAAGTGACTGCAGTACATCTTGATAATGAAGACTAAGCTCTGACATACTGCTCTTTATCAGATGGAGTCCTTGGCCAGCTTTCACTCCCAAGTGTAACTCGCATGAGGTATATTTAGGAATACCTCACTTTATGGACATTTTGTGTAGTATATGTTGGCTTCAAAAAAGGAGCCTTCTGCGAAGTGGAGTGTCTTCTCACACAGTGTTTAAGACTAGTTTCCATTATTTATCAAGTACGAGAAGGGTAAGTCTTCACCTCTTCTAATGGCCCTGCAGAGCCAAAGCAATTAGGGATGAGCCAGTTGGCCTCTCTTTTCCTTCAGATATTAAATAATCAGTGGCTGCAGAAGCCTTAGGGTGATGGAAGGGAAAAACGGAAAGCTCAACTAACATATGGAGGGCAAAGAATATGGGGTAGAGCCATGTCATTTTGTGATCCTGTGTTTTGGTCCGTTTTACGAACCGCTTTGTAGTCTGCTTTTCTGCCTGGAGCAGCAGTTTTCAGTGTCTTCACGTCAGTGCCGTGATTCATGGTGTGAACAGGACTGTTCCTGTCTGCCTGGCATTCTGCAGGGAATTTCTCCCCTAAATTGAAAGGGGAGCAAGCAGGAGCCATCCTTGTATCTTCTGTTCTCTAGCAAGTCATTCTGTCTAAAGGGTAGACTTCCTAAATTCACCTCTCCCATTATGTAGAAAGCTATCTGTTAATTTGATTGGTCTTGCTATTCAGGTTGGCCTTTTAATTAGCTCTTGGGGCCAGTGTAATCATCTGGATTAAATTGTGCTATGGGTGTATACAGTTACCCAGGAAAGAGCTTGCTGTTCATGGAATTTTCCCTTCTTTAGTCTAGTCATTGTTCTTTATGTCCACACCCTTTAAGGAAGGCATTTTTTCTGTCTCAGTCTAAGCTGGAAGAGATGGTCTCCTCAGGTATTTATAAAAATCTTACTCTTCTCAGTTCACTTTCTTCAGCATGGACCTGATCCAGCCTTCAAGTGAGAGTCCCCACGCTCTGCCTCCATGCAGACTTCTTGTGTAAACGACCTAGAGCTTGTGATGCCAGGACAGCTTGTAGGAAGAAAAAAAAACCAAACAACCCAAACCCAAACGATTTTTCACATTGGGAAGAAGGCTCTTACATACTGCGAGGTTTCTTCAAGCTTCATCTCTAAGGAGGCATAGATTCTGTATTCCATAGGCTAATGCCTCCATACCCACCTAGCGAAGCCTAGGGAATACTGGAGTCGTGCCTCTAGGAAATGGCCAGCTCGCTGAGGGAGAAAGGGCTCTGTTTCTCTAAAGGGTTACTTAGAGGTCTGCCAAGCCTGGCTCGTTGGTTGCTTGCTGAAGACCCCTCTGTGTTGTGAGAATGGTTATTACCAGGGAAGGTTTTTTCTTTTGTTTTACCTGCCATCTAGATGCTGCACAGAATCTCGCAAAGGATCAGAGCGTCGATAAGCCAAGCCAAGACCAGCTGAAGGTAAACCCACTGCCTGGTGGTTTCTTTTGTTGTACAGAGTGCCCCTTCTCTGTACCTGTGCATGGTGGACTGCCAGAACTTTGTGCTGCTTGGCTGCCAGGTCCTCACCTTCCTGAAAAGTTCTTGGGAGTCCACAGAGCAGGGACAGAGTGACCCTTCTCTGTTCTCTTCATAACAGAGTACCAGTCTCTGAGCGCGTTTCTCTGGGGTGTAGCACTTCTAGTCCTCAGTTCTTCCAGTGTGCTCTGTATTCTGTGTCTTTCCCTCCTCTCTCCCATCCCCTCTCTGAGTAGGAATTGCCAAATAATTAAGCTTTCTAAAACGTGTGAACAAGTTTTGTGTTTAGTAGGATTGTTTTCAGAAGCTTTCAGGCAGAATCTGAAACCTAGGAAAAATCTTTGTGCATTCAAAACTTGCTTCCAGGTATATTTTAGGATAAGGGTGGTCTGATGTGGGAGGTGTTTGTTCACATTAGGGGCCAGAGAGTCACAGAAATCACAGTTACTGCATTAAAGATGGCAATTTTTGGACTTCTGCCAATCTTAAGGTTTTTCCTAGGTTGCAAGTATATTTTTTTTTTGTGCTGATTACAGATGCATTAGCCTTCCTAAAGGGTTATTAATAGTGTGTAGTTTTTGTTCAGAAACTTTTATTTCTCTTCATAACTTCTTGGTCTTGTACTGCAGCTGGTGACTCGGAATGGAAGTGCTACATCCCCTTGTCCCTATAAGCTCTGATAGACTAACATCTCTTTTTTTCCTTCCTTCATGCAGTTTAGCCAGCAAGAAGGTTCTGACACGGGCGTCATGGAGGGTGAAAGCAATTCTTCTGCTTTGTCTACCTCAGAGCAAAAATGTGAGAATTACGAAGGTGAGTGCCAGCCCTTCTGCAGTAACACAATGTGTCCAGGCTTTTCTGCTCCTTCTCTGGTGTGAGACGTTGAGCTCTGCCTCAGCAAACTGCTGGAGGAGGATGTTGGGAGACTAATAAAAACCTGTTGTGGAATATAATCTTTAAAAATCATCGGTTTATGCTAAAGATTGAGAGAACAGCAAATGTTCTCCAAAGGTATTTTATGATAGACGTGTTTTCAAGCTTGGGTATTTGGTCTCATAAATAAACAAACACTTGGAATAAAATGGCAGGTTAAGCCCCAAAAGCACATCTATCACTGAACAATGCCATGAGAAATCGTACAGACCTTGCTGAAGGGTATTTTAAATGCTGAAATTATACTTGTATCTATTTATCTTCCCAAGGGACTCTCTCCTCTGATTACATAGAACACAGCCTGAGCTGTCTGCAGTCATTACCTGCAAACCAATCAGGGAACTGAATAACAATGACATGTTTTTTTCTATCCAGCTTAAGTGTAGTACAGCTCCTTCATATTTAGACATTTCCTTTGTTTTAATGTCTGGGGATTTCTCGCTGGTTCACTTATATGGATTTCTGATGTTACAGAAGCAATTTTCCTGTTTTTCTACTTTCTATTCTCACGTTGTTCTCATATCAAGGAACCTAATTTGTAAAACCAAATCTTTGCAAGTGTGGGTATTTGCAGATCAAATGAGAGTGGCAGATATTTTCCTGGCTGCATGTACAAAAGAGGTAGAAACAGTCCTTGTCTGTGCCTTTGAAACTCTTGGCACTGAAGAGAGAGAGAGAGAGAGATTCAAGGTTATCTTGAAATTCAGAAGCTGAGTTAAGGATCATAGACTAAACTGCATGGGCTAAAAAGGAGACTGAAGCATGGGGTTACAGAGCATGGATTCTTACCTTCCAGCTTCCTATTTTGAGCCTGGTTTGGGGATTCAGGACCTCCCATCACTGGAAATTTGAACTAAATTCAAACCAGTTCTTTCTGCATCTAAAGTCGCTCAGGAAACCTACTCAGTGTTGACTTGGTTTAGAGTTCTGAAAGAAGTGTTTGTGTTTCTGTATTGAGTCTTAAGGTAAAGCTAAAGAGAACGTGTACTGTTATGGAGGCACCGGGATGCTCCTCTGACCTCTGATGGCTGTGCAGTGACTGTTTTGCCAGGTTCACTTGGGTAGATCCACGAGTACCGACGTGCGGCAGATCTGACATCCCAGCACACTCGTACAAACCCCAAAGCTCTGAGCAGTAACTGGCTGTAAGAAGGAGCAAGAAAAGACTTTTAAAATCGAATGGGGCCAAATTTTTCTCTGCTAGTCTCTTAAATAATGTAGGTGTGGCATGACTTAGATTCTACTTGGCTCTTACAGACAAAGACTTAATAGAAAACCTCTCTAAAAGCAAGAAGCCTAAGCTGGACCTAGTGTTTGAGGAATGGGATGTAGCTGGTCTTCCATGGTGGTTTTTAGGCAACCTCAGAAGCAATTACAAGTCCAGAAGTAATGGATCAACAGATATTCAGACTAACCAGGTGTGTAGACATTTTAAATAGGTGTGCTGTATTCTCTTCCTTTCCTCTTTTGGGTTCCAAGTAAATAAAATATTCTTGTTCTTTTTTTCCCCTTCCCACTCCAGGATTTTCAGCCTCTCCCTTGTGTGTTCCTGTCCCAGCCTTTCACATCAGGTGGTTGGTTACCTTTAGTGTTCTTAAATAAACTAGGTGCTCTCTGAAGGCTGTGTTCAGCCCTTGGAGGTCCTTCTGCACTCCAGAGCATTGGTTGTATTTTCAGGAGTTGCCCCTCTTCTGGGTTGAACGCTATTAACGCGGTGCAGCTGGCTGTAGTGTGGTGGCTGGCTGGTGAGGGGAATGAGCAGAGCGCTGCTTGAGAAAAGTTGGGCGTCTTGTGAGAGTAGTGAGCTGCCCCTTTCTCTCCCAGGGGTGACTGGAGAAGCTGCCCAGGCTGTTAGTGAGGAAAAGGGGAGAGGTGCTCGCTGTGGCGATGGCCGCGGTGCTGCTGCTGCTGCTAACCTGAGCTCTAAGTGGTCTCTTTCTTTTCCAACAGGACATCGACACTGCTGTTGTTTCAGATACTACTGATGACTTGTGGTTCCTCAACGAATCTCCATCGGATCAGAGCAGTGCTGCAGTCAAGGTAGAAGTGGTTGACTGCGAAGAAGTGAAAGAAGATGACAAAAAGGTACCTCTTTGAACAGCCACAGTGCATATGTTCCACCCGCTGGCCTGGTAGAATTGAGCTCATGGTGCTGTGCTGATTTTGAAGGAGCTAAATTTGTAACCATCCAGAGTCTAAACTGTTTAGAAAAGGCTGTCACCATTCCATGCGTGGTGTGATAGCTTTCCTGTGTAGTCAGTCTCCTTGAGTTTTGGTTTAAATGCATGTATTTTCAAAGCACAAAATTAATTTAAAATGAAAACTCTAGCAGCAACTTTACTGTATTTCTAACCAATATCTGTAAGACTCGTAAATGAAAAACTTGAAGAGGAAAATCTCAGTTTATGTTGTTACCATTCAGTGTACGATAGGCTGGCTGGAGTCTGCTAGTGGAGGTGCTAGTGAAATTGGTCACGGGTAATTAATCAAATGTGTGTTAAAATGATTGAGTTCATGATTTCTGGCTTGGAAATTAGTAGGACCACTCAGGTGTGTATCTGTTGATGTTTGTATGATTCTCGTGTGCATCAGAGGGAGGTATGAGTTGACCACAGGCAAATACAACTGTAAACCAGCCCAGCAACAGTTGTCAACGTCCTGGAATAGATACAGTGCATAAAATGGCTCTTCATGCACTTGTAGAAATGACTTAATTATCATGGCAATTATATAGTCATTTTAGGTTTGGTGCACAGTGCCAGGCACTTCAGAAACAGAGATTATTGTGCCCCTCTAACAACATTTCCACTCTTTCCAGGTAACAGAGGATGAATGTGTGCATGACTTGGAGGATTCTCAGTGCTTAAGTGACGACACAGATATAGAAGCTGCATCTGAGGTAGGAATCCTTCAGGTCAGCGTTCCTGCCTTGGAGCGTGCTGCATCCTAGCTGTAGTTGGAAAAACTCGTCCTACAGTTACTACTGGATCTGGTAGGAGAAGCTGATTCTTGTAAGGGTTTCAGAGGCCAAAAAAGGGGAAAAAATCGAGCCAAAAAAGCTTTTTTTTTTTTTTTAACCTATCTGAAGGAGTGTAGAGAAGTTGGCTTGACCTGGTCTGGCCCTGACCCCTCAGGGCTCTGATAAATTCTAAACTGGATGGGCAGTGAGTGCTGACAGCCCTTGAATGCTCTGACCTGCCCAGCTCAAAAACACCGACTTTCTCTCCGGGCCACAGGGCAGTCCTGGAACTTTCATGATTTTGGCCACTTTTTATGGCAATGTGAGAGAATTTATATGTTTTTTAGCTAAGAGGGTTTTTTGACCAGGAGATCAGGCTCCTTTTTTTCTACATTGTTCATCCCTTTTGTGCCCAGGTAACGTAATGTCAGCGTGGGCATCCGCTGGCGTTTTACTCATGATTTAAGTTGTCCCTTCACACACCCAGGAAGAGGATGAAGATTAGGCTCTCAGTTTACAGCATGGTCAGTCTAATGCTATGTGCAGTTAGTATTAGCGATATCCATGCATGTTTTAACTCAGTATTGTCCTCTGAAAGGAAAGCTGGAGTACAGTCCTTTGCAGAGATTGGGAAATCTAAAGTAGGCTCTTTGTAATCACTGAAGTGCTCATACTCAAAAAAAAAAAAACCCCAACCCTTGTTAGTGGAAATTTCTGTATCAGGATCAGGGTTCCACTGAGTCCTCAGTGTCCAGGCCAACTCTGAAGCTGTCACTTGTTTTGTGGTGGTCTCTGGGATGAGAAGAAAATCCACTTCAGAGATGCTTGTATGGCCTTTGTCAGGAGGAGAGCCTGTCTGCCTGCTGGTATAACCTCATTGCCCTTGCAGTGCCTCTAAGGACAGACCACAGCTCTTTTCCCTGTTTAAATGAAAAAACAAGTTGGAAGGAAAGTAAGCAGTAGTTACTGGGTTGTCACCCCTCCCCACTACCTCATTCCTCTTCTGAATTCCCTCATGATGGATGTGGAGGGACATGAAATTTGTGTTCTTTCATCTGTCCTTTTTGTCTCCCAGGCCTGCAGGCTGCCTTTTGAGGTTTTGTTGTAAGTCACTGAAAGTGTATCGTGATACTCTTTGCAGCTGATGACACCAAAATTTTTTTAGCATAATATTCTAGACTCTGCATCCTTGACAAATTAAGATGTCCCTGGCACTGGACAGCTGAATCATATAGCTCTGAACTTGGGCAGCTCTTGCCCTTGCTGTGTGGGGTAATCAAGTAAGTTGCTATTAGTTGTGCAGATTGAACAGATGCTAAGTGATTAGTGAGTCTGGGAGATACATTCCTGACTGATTCCAGGAGCTCTACCCTTGAATTTAGAGTGAGATACTGAAAATTCAATAAAAATTCAATAAAAATTCAAGCACAGCTTGAGAACATTGTATTCTTCCAGAGTGCTGAAGGCTGAGAGGAAAGAAGGACAGATTTTAATGCTTAAGAGATCTGCATCTGTAAAATGCACAGGGGTGGTAAAATTCTCTTTAGGCTTTCTGAGGTGCTGATAAGCAAACTAGCAGTCACGCATTCACCAGCTTATACTCGGTAATAAACGTCCTTTTTTTGATGAAGTTTCTTTGCTGCTTTTCCTATGTAGAGGAAACAAGTTGTATGCAAGAATACGCTAACTTGGTGCTGTTTTTGTCTGCCTCAATCATTCCTCAGGACTGCTGGCAATGCACCAAATGCAAGAAATTTAACTCTCCAGGCAAACGGTACTGTTACCGCTGCTGGGCCTTACGGAAAGACTGGTACTCAGATTGTCCCAAACTGGCTCATTCTCTTTCTCTGTCCAACATTGATGCTATGCAAAACAAAAATGATGATGAAGGGATCGATGTCCCAGACTGCCGGAGGACTATTTCTGCTCCAGTCGGCCAACCCAAAGACCTGTACGTGGTAGAAAACAAATCCCATGTAGATCCCTGCAGCTCTATTGAGTCTTTGGATTTGGCACGAGAATGTGAAAGCAAGAAGTCCCTGTTGCATTTCGCTGAGCATAAAAAGGAGGAAGAAATACAATCTTTAGAGAGTATTAAAAAATTACTAAATCCTTGCTTCTTATGCCATCACAGACCACGGGATGGGAATATTGTCCATGGAAGGACTGCTCACCTTGTGGCCTGTTTCAAATGTGCAAAGATGCTGAAGAAAAAGAGATCACCTTGCCCGGTGTGCAGGAAGGAGATTGAGATGGTGATCAGGATCTTTATGGGGTAGTTGTGCCAGTTCAGGCCTTCTCCACCAAAAGATAGCACAAAGATTTTCTTGCACTCGCACCCTAACTTCAGAGCTCGGCCAGTGAATACCAAAGAGAAACAAGATTCAAATCTGAGCAAGAACACTGAGGAATCTTCTGCAATAAATTTTCAATGTCCGTCTGAATTAAAGCCCACAGGGAGCAGGGAGTGACTGGCACGTTGGCATCAATGCCCCAGCTTTGAAATTGTCTAAATTTAATATTTTCAGCCCAGTGGTGTCACTAGGATTCGCTGTTCTGACAACTGGTCCTTGAAGAAAAGAAGTTTTGGAAAGAGTTTATAATTTTGGCTGTTGGAATGGTGATCTCCAATAAGTCAAACCCTGTGCAATGCCTTCTGAGGGGGAAGTCTGCATCTGAGATAGATATATATAGATATATATAGATATATATAGATATATATAGATATATATAGATATATACACAGGACTGGGAAAGAGGGTGGGAGGGAGGGGTAGACAGAGGACTTTGCAATTTAGATAAGCCATTTTTCCAAGGATCAGCTCTCCTGAGGACGGTGAGAAGTAAATAACCTGGCTTCTGATTTTGTTTGTTTGTTTGTTTAATGTAGATTTATTAGATAAAGTAAAGGTCCTCTTGCTCCCAGACTTGAAATAAATTCTCCCAAATTTTAATCCATAGCTATCTCAGGTCACATATCAAACTGCAAAAGAATAGGGTGTTATATATACTTCGCTTTGTTATTGGATCTTCTAATTTCTCTAGATTCTTTTTTCCATTTTAGTACAGTTCTGTGTTCTCTTGCATGGCTTTGTGGAGGCCCGTCCAGCTTTAGCTCAGTATCTGTGCCAGCTGGATTAAATTATTATAACAGCTCTGTGCATGCTTCGGGATGTTCTCATAGCTCTGTGCTTACAGCACCATTGCAGCTTCTACCTGCCTCATGTCATGAGGCCAGCCTAGATAGAAGATGCTCACTTTAGAGTGTAGCATGGCTTTAAAGGCAGGATATGGGCCTTTGAGGGAAAAAATTAAGTCCCGTAAAACACCAGTTGCAGCTGGTTAGTCTATGGGCTGTGCTTGGTGTTATTTTTTTTTTCATTTTCTTCACTAATTTTTCTTTCCCTGTGGTTTAATGCTTCAAATCTGTTGGCAGCTTTTATGTTGTCCTTCAGAGCTATGTATGGTTGCTGTAGTGGCTGTTAAAACTCAGCTAGAACTGGCAGTTGGAAAACGTCTAACCCTGTTCCGAGTTCGTAGAGTGTGCTCACATCTTCTCAGCCTTCCTGCTCTCCAGGGTTTGGAGGGCCTGCAGCACGCAGCAGCAGCAATAGTGCCTTCACCTTTCAGGTGTACAGGCATTTGAACTCAATACAGAGTGTAGAATAAACCCTGTTTTGTCATCTTCTCTCTAATTCCCTCTCTAATCTAGAAAGTTACACCTGAATAAAAATAAAAGAGAAGGGAGTGCTCATACCTTGGTGCTTCTCTAGGCTGTTTTCCACACTCCTTGTGCTGGCCCAGCCCGAGCAGGTCAGGTGTGTGCTGGAAGGTCCCAGCAAACTGCAATGTCAAAGGTGTTTTTCTGCCAAGATATCAGAGTAGGTGCTATATGCAGTTGCTGCCTGTCACTGCCAAAAGGCAGATCCACCTTCTGTTTTGCATAGTATTGCAATTATTTCTCTGTTGGCGGTCATTTAGACTATTGTTGTTGGTTGTTATTTACAGTTTGTATTTTAAAAACGGGAGGGTAGTGCACTATCTATAAGTCCATGGGAATCTATCCACATGGAAAAGCTGACTTATTGCTCCCTTAACTAAAAGGGCTGTTAAGTTGCTGGTGATGCACTTTAATCATGCTAAGATCAGCAGCGTCACTGCCTGGAATCACCAAAATGGAGTTCCTGCCAGGTAGTTTCTTCCCTTTTCAGGTAGTTTCTTTCTTTTTAAGGGTCTCGGGCTCAGCAGGGTGCGTTGTGGCACTTTGTGGCACTTCCGAATACTGTGAATTCCCCCTCAAACCGATTGCACCTAAGAACGAAACGTTTTGCTAAAAGCAGTTCTACTGAATTGTTCAGATCCGACCACACTGAAAAGCGTGTAATTTGTGTTGATGACAAAAACAACCCAACCAATAGTCAGGAAATAAGTTCCAGTAATGGGATTGAATATCCCTACCAAAATCCTACGGGGATCTGTACGCAGCTTCTTTTATTAAATGAAAATTGTTGTCAGTGTGGCAGTTTGTGATAAAAAGCAAGTCTGCAAGATAACTTGCAGTGTGACGATCTTTGTGTCTTCTTGTTCCGTATAACCACGGTGTTTACAACGTGCATTTGTCAAGTTTTTCATTCTTTTTTTAACTGAAATAGTTAGTGGACATAAGAGATCCCAGTGTAACAGCTGATTTTCCTTCCTATAGAAGAATAAGCTATGAGCAGCGCAAGCACATTGTGTGTAGCTGTAAGTGCCCAAGTTGTGGCTTGGGCTTGGGGGGGTGGGGGGTGTGGGGAGGGAGTTTTAGTGCAGGAGAAAACCAGAAGAATATTATACTGCTTTAACTTAAATCCAAGCCTGAACGCAGTTTGCCAAGAACTGTTCTTCTGACACTTTTAAGGAAGTGCAGTCTTGAGTTATGGGTTGAAGAACTCGCTCAAAGCACTCGACTACAATACTTACGTTGCAGCACAGATGAGAATTGGCCAGGCAGTGCTATTACTTTCCTTTCCTACGGACATGGCCGTTAACGTGGAGTCCTAATTCAGAAACCCCTGTTTTGGAGGAGCTGAGCATTTACCTGAAATAGTGTGAGCTTTGTCGGTGTCTCGTAGTGGCTGACAGTTCTGTTCTCTTACAGTGGTTTTACTATGAAGTGCAATATGAGAGAAGAGGTCCTTGGTAATCTTTAGCAGTCGTTGCTGCATGGCTGTTAGGAGAAGCATTGAGCGCAGCTGTCTTTCAGTGCCCAGACTAAAAAGGTTTATATGGTTCACTGTTTGGTTGTTTGGGTTTTTTTAATTTTTTTTTTCTCCAGTGACATTGGTTGTGGTTCCTCGGGAACCTGCTGAAGTCACACTGGCACAAGTGTACCTGTAGGTCAGGTTTCATTGACTAGATCCCTCTGCTTTTCAGCCAGAAGTTTTTGGCACCAGTTATCCCCAGAAGCAGCAGATTTCTTTCTTTAGTGGGTATTTAAATACAGTCAGAACCATGATGCTCACAACTGTATAGTCCATTCAGCAACTGTAGTGCTCTGCGGTGTGAAACCATACCTGCACGTGAACTGTAGTGACAACCAGAGGTGCACACGTTGCCTTTACTGCCCAGTATTTCCATTTTAAGTGCCTCTTCTCGGTTACTCAGTGACTCGTTTACTGACACACAGCACATCAGCCTTTTCTTCAGCTCTCTTCAGAAGTCTCAGCGTCCCTCCTCCGCTGAGATGTATTATCGAGCCAGTTTAGCCTAAACAGAGCTGCTACATGAATTACAAAGATCCTTTGGAGCAGCTCCCCAGAGTGCTTATTTCTTCTGAACAGTGAGTGTTTCCACAAAGACTGCGATGAACTTCCTGCCTGTGTTACGTATTGTTTGTGGTGCACGACTGTGGTGGAAACCATAATGTAGCTTGCCAGGGTCTGCTTCATCCTTCTGCATCCAGCATAGATTGTATCTGTTAAGGAGAAGCTGCCCTTGCAGAGAAAAAGTGACTGTTGGACAAACAGGAGTGGAAATGGAGTGGAAACTGGCTCAAAACCCATCAGGGTACCTTGTTTTTTCCTGCTTACACTCTGCCTCTGCTGCCTCTGCTGAGCTTCATCTTCTGGTCCTGGAAGAAAAACCAAAATGCTCTCACTAGAGGCCTTCGGTGAAGGCTGACCCTTTTGGAAGGTGCCAGTGATTGAAGGGAGAGCCAGAGCACTGGTCTCCGTTCTGTCTTTGTAAACTGAGCAAAACCCCTGGAGGCCTGGGCGTCGGGAAGCAGCCCCAGGATCCTTGAGAAGGAAATAACTGTGAGGCTGTTCTGTCAAGGGCAAGAATGAGACCTACAAATGATAACGGGGATGATAAACTGTGCGTTTGGAACAGCTCCAGAAGCACAGGTGACCTTCAGACAGCCACTTCTGTGCTCTGGAAATCCTTCTGCAGCTATCAGTCTACAGTGTCTGGAATTTTCCTTGCTCCTTTGAAAAACAGGCGAGACCCTGCTTGTGGCTACAGGGCAGTGTCTGGCCAGCAGCACCGGTGGGGTTCCCCACCCCCTGGGCTCACCTCGCACCCCTCTGCACCTTACTCTGAGGGATACAGGCAGCTGTTGTGGTTGCAGCCCCGTTTTTCTGTGCTGTTTTTAACCCCGGCGATGTGCACTTGCTGCCCACACATCTGTGGGGATGCCCCGTGCCTGCCCCAGTCGCTGAGCGGGGCTTCAGGACGGTGCAGCCGGCTGAGCTCGGCGATTATCTTCAGAGTCTCCAGCTCCTAGAAAACATAACAGCATCTGAGGATCGCTCTGAGGAGATACTTGAAGAAGGCAGGAACATGTTGTACCTCTGACAAAGATAAAGACTTGCTGTTCTGGAAAGAGTGATTTCCTGCTCCATCTCCCCACCACTTTCCCTGCAGCCCGTTGTTCTCAGATATATTTTTCTTGTTTAGAAAAACTCCACGTCTCGATACACGCCCACACAGTCCCTGCAGTAACGGGCGGGAGCGCTGGCTCAACATCAGTGTGTTTGCACTATTTAAAATAAGGCATGCCTCACAAAATTGATGACCTGTTTTTGTGTCCTGCGCATAATGACTTTAATTAAATTGAGCGCGTTCTATGATAACGTTTGTTTTTTTCATTTGTACTGCTTTTCGGGGGGAAAAAAAAAAAAACAACAACAAAACTTTTAAGTAAAAGCCTGTTACCAGTTAAGCAGCCTGTGATCTTCCTGCAGGTCCACCTTTCCAGAGAGGGGGGTTCTTCCTAGGGTGCATCTGTCTTGAGTTGGGAGGCTGTAGATGAATGTATGTGTTCGCAGAAAACAGCAGGAATGGCAGCAGGGGAAGGGCTTAGGCTTCACCTCCAGCTTGAAAAAGTAACTTGGTGGGTTGGTTTTACGCTGGTTCCCCAGTCCCGCAGCCACTCCAGGTTCCCAGGAGGGGCAACCACCGCGTCGTTTGCTCGTGGCAGTGCCAGGAGGTTCCTTAGCCCTTCTCCAGCTGTTTTTAATGCTGGTTGTGTTGGCAGTGGGATGAACGCAGCCCTGGGGCTGCACCCCGACAGGCCCAGCTCCCCGGAGAGGCAGCTCACTAGAGGGCACCCGCCGGCCACGCTTGGCACCGGGCGGGTTCCTCCCAGCTCTCATCTCCTTGTCTCCAGGCTGTGCAGACCCGACCTTTACATCCAGCACAAAAAACGTTGCGCCAAGGGACACGAGTCCCGTAGTTGGGTGTTGGTTTTCCCTGTTTGCCCCTTGGGTGACGGTGCTGGTGGGGGATCAGGAGGCTGCACGTAATCGGGAGGAAGATGGATGAGCATGCTCTGCTTTTCCGTGGTGTAAATTGGCCCCGCAGATGCCCAGCAGTGATTTAGCCCTAGTTGCTTACCGAGGAGGAGATGTGGCTTCATAATGAAGAGCATCTTGATTGCTTTGTAGAAAAACAATAAAACTCCACCTGTGGCATCTGAACAGAATCAGAGCTGGTTCCCCCACCCCTGACACGAGTGTCTGCTGGCTGAGGGCAGGGCTGGGTGTATTTCTGGTCCTGCCCCTGCTTGTTCCCTGCCTGTTTCTAGGAGCAGCTTTAGGCAGGGCTGGTGTCCAGGGTCACGGCCAGCTGGGTTCCACCCAGCAGCCGTTTCCATTCTGTCCTGCTATAAAAGCAGCAATTAGACTCGCTGCTAACCTCTGCCAGTCTTGAGCCTGCAGGGAAGTTTCTGGCTCTTGCCCCCACAGTCCTCTCTCTATGTAACCTTTCCTTGCACCCTGCCAACAAAAGCGACCTGTCCCAACATGCTCCAAAGCGCAGGAGCTGCAGAAAGCAGAGCATCAGCATCCATCCTGTGTGCCAGGGGCTGCTGTGTGCTGGCGAGATCCTTCACCCTCGCCCTGCCTGCCCTGGGCAAACAGCAGCTGCCGGCCAGCAGCGGGCAAAACAAATCCTCCTGGCTTTGACAGACGAGGTGTTGGAGCAGGGTGGAGTTGCTCACCTCTGAATTGGACTTCTTAACAGCAAGAGGCTGGCCGGCTGCGTGCTGGAGAGAGGTGGCTGTTCATCTTGTAGAGGAAATAACAGCGTTTCATCTTCCTCGCAGGTGCAACCACGGTGTGTTTCTGGGGGGAAGAAATATTGCTCTGTATCTTAGCAAATAAAGGATCCTTTTCTGCTGTAGCCTGTCGAGTAGCCAGAGCTGCTTGTTCCAACCCTGCTCAGCTTCTGCCCTCCTCACCGTGCCTCTTTTCCTCTCATTTTTTTTCTCTAGGAAAGATGTTTTTAGGAGACAGCGTTTGTGGCACTCCCAAACTCCCTTAAGCGGTTGCAGGTCTGTGCAGGAGCACTCTAAAGCCCGTGCTCTTCAGGCTGTTGCTGGGAGCCAGCGGCACTTCTCACTCCTCTGCCTTGGGGTAACAGACAGCAGAATCCACCCATTTGGATTTATCCAGATGCCTTCCCCAGAATTGTCAGTGACCCAAATGTGGACATTAGGGGGAAAAAAAAAAACTCAACTCTCTGAAACCCAGTCTGATGAGAGCCACAGTGCTGCTGTCCCAGCCACCAGTACGGGCTGGGAGACCCCCGGGAGCTGTGTGGGGTCTCCAGCTGGAGCTTACTGGGGTGAGGGGGCCAGTGGAACGAAACCTCGCCAGCAAAGCAGGCTCAGCACCACAGGTTTTAAGAAGAAAAAAATTTAAAAATCAGTTTTTCCTTTTAGCAGCCAAAGCCTCATTAATTTGAAGATTGAAATGGCCACACGGTTGGAAAGTGGCATCACAGTGGCAGGTCTGAACGGGGATTCAGAGGAACCGGTGTGAGACCCCGGGGTCTGGGGGAGCGGAGCTGTTCCCTGCACAAAGGATTGGGGGGGGCGGCTTTTACATCCCCACGTACCTTTTGTTTCTGGAAAGCCAGACCAGCCTGTCCGTGCTTTGCCTTTGTAGCTCCGTTTAATGAGTTTAACAGGTCGGTGGGGCTCTACCCCAGGGAAAAGCAGAGCCCTGATGCCCACCGAGGACTCGCGATTTCCCTGCGCAGCACCAGTGACATCCCTGTCCCGCGGCTTCCTCTGGTTTAGCTGGCAGTAAATCAGGAAGGATTATTCACCGGAGTGGTTCAGTGGGATGCTTTAAACGGCCTGTAAATGTTTGCATATTGCTTTGAGCGTGGGAACAGCTTTACAAGTGCTCGCTATTGCTATTTTGCTTTGGAAGCCATGTTCTCCTTAAAAATCAATAACCCCAAAGAAGAATGCCTGAGCAAGCCAGCTAACTTGCTACGGTATTATTATTGTGATTAGCAGAGAGGATTGTAACCCACGCTGGCACACCTTTGAGCTCCGGGTGTTCCTCTCCTTTGGAATAAAAGCAACACTTCCTCGCGAGGGAGCGCCCTTACCTCTGACCCTTGCTTGCCAAACTTTTCTGCTCATGCCTACATCTTCTCCATGTTGCAGTCAGGCCTTTAAACTATGAGAAAAAAAAAAAACAAAAACCAAAACGATGCGGTGTGCAGAGAATATCTTGTTCTGGCTGAAAACGCAAGGCCAGAAACAGGAGCCGGGGCCGCTGGCAACCTGGAGGGGGTCAATGGTGGGAAAGTTTGGGTGTCCTCCCTGGCCCCAATTCTGCGTGTGCTTTCAAGTCCCCCTTGCTCCCCCAGTGCTTGGGTGGGTGCTTTGGGGTTTTATCCCAAAGCTGGGCTTTATCTGGTAAGTTGGGAAGGGTGGGGGGCTGCTGCTGGGTCCCTGCTGGAGGGATGGGCTCACCCCCTCCTACCCCCAAGCCCCGATGTGCTTCGCCAGGCTCTGATTTGAGAGGTGCCAAATTGACCTCCCAGCTGCAAACTCTTCTTTTTGGGTTTCCCCCTTTTTTTTTTTTTTTTTTTTTTTTTTTTT